CAGAAGATGAGACCCTCAGGCTGGAAGATATTCAAAATACGACTGAAGAAGAGCTGCCTCCTCAAAGTAGAGTTCACCATGATGAAAGAAAAGTTTTGGGGACCTTCATTTGTTGATGGGGCACAACTCAAAATGAGGAGAATCAGTTGTAAACATCCATTAAAAATTGGGCATAGATTGTATGAAGTATGAATCTAGGAAAATTGTAAGATGTCAAATTAAATGGACACATAAAGACCTACATCCTAGGTATTAGTGAGCTTAAATGGACTGATATTGACCATTTTGTATCTGACAATCATATGGCTTACTGTGCCAGGAACAACAAATTCAGGAGGAATGGCGTAGAATTCATCATCAAAAGGAACATTTCAAGATCTGTGTTGAAGTACAATGCTATCTGTGATAGGATAATATCCATATGCCTATAAGGAGGACCAGTTATAAAACTATATTTCAAACTTTTGAACCAGCCGTTAAAGCCAGTGATGATGAAACTGAATAACTCTGCCAATTTCTTCAGTCTGAAATTGATCAAGTGTGTCATCAAGATGATTGATAATTACTGATGATTAGAAAGTGAAGGTTGGAAAATATGGCTTTAGTGATAGAAATGATGCTGGAGATTGCAAGACCAATGACTTAATTGGAAGGGCAGTGGACTGTGAACCACAAGAGCTGCAGTTCGAGCTCACCAGTCCCTCCTCTGAAGAAAGATGAGGTTTTATGCGCCTGTGGAGATTTTGTTGTTGTTGTTGTTCAGTGTCATTGAGTTAGTTCCTACTAATAGCAACCCTGTATAGGGTTTCCAAGGAGTGAGTGGTAGGTTCGAACTGCTGACCTTTTGATTCAAATAGATTTTGTGAGCAGATTCATATCCTAAAGTGCCAAATCAGGACTCTACGAAGATATAAAGCCCAGGAGACCCTATACAATGTCTCTATGAGTCAGGAACTAACTCAATGGCACTTAACAACAACAATAATTTGTTTATTGCAAATACTTTCAAAACAACATAAAAGGTGATTGCACACATGGATCTCACCAGAGGAAACACATGGGAATCAAAGTCACTACATCTGTGGGAAGAGATATTGGAAACATCAACCAAAACAAGACCAGGGGCCAACTTGGAACAAGACCATCAATTGCTCAAAAGCAAGTTCAGGATGAAGCTGAAGAAAACAAAAACAAATCCACTAGAGCCAAAAGATGACCTTGGACATATCCCACATGAATTTAGAAACTATCTCAAGAACAGATTTGATGCATTAGACACTAATGACCGAAGACCAGAAGAGCTGTGGGATGACATCAAGAACATCATACAGAAAGAAAGCAAAAGCTCATTAAAAAGACAGACAGAAAGAAAAGATCAAAATGAATGTCAGAAGAAACTCTGAAACTTACTCTTCAGCACAGAGATGAAAAAGTGAATGGAATAAATAAGGAAGTCAAAGAACTGAACAGAAAATTTCAAAGGGCAGCTTGAGAAGACAAAGTCAAGTATTATAATGAAATTTGCAAAGACCTGGAATTTGAAAACCAAAAAGGAAGAATACACTCAGCATTTCTCAAGCTGAAAGAATGAAAGAATAGAAGAAACTCTTTAAGATCCAACTTGAAATGTTGAAGGATTCTGGGCAAAAGGAGTCTGGTGTGGTAGGTACTGCAGTAAAATGTGCTGGACTGCAAGGTCAGTTTGAACTGCAAGGTCAGTGGTTCAAACCC